TAGTGATATATATTTATGGACATATATAAATAGATATGGATATATACTTATGGATATACATAAATATATATATTATGTATATCTATATCTAGATATAGATACAGATACATAGATATACATACACATACGGTTTTTATAAGAAAAGGCTGTGTTGGCCCCAGATCTTTTAGGGAAGACAGGCCGTTCCAAGCACATCCGCCTCCCCAGAGTGTGGGCACAGTGGTCCCAGGGCCACATTTCAACATGATCCCTTCTCATCCAAGAGGCCCAGTGGCTCCTTCCTGCTTTCTAAAGTTGAAATCAGACTTCTGGACTGGAGCAGACACCTCCCCCTCCCTCAGCTTTCTGCCTGAGCTGGTCATGGTGGTCCCTGTATACTCCTTCAAAATTAAGAAAACTGAGTCTCAGAGAGGTGATCACACACTTAATAAGTGACAGAGTCATAATTCAGACACACAGCTCTCTGCAGTCTCCCCAAACTGACCTCTTTCTACCAGGTGAAGGCTGCCATTTTGGCTTCTTCCTCGTCAAGGATGGACGGGCGGATGGTACGATAAAAGGGTAGGCCAAAGCATCCCTGGGCATGCTGTCTGTGGGTGGCCCTGAATTCAGCATGAGGATACAGAGAGGAATGAGACATAGTTCGTACCCCAAGGAGCTCAATGGGACTCAGTGCTTCTCAAACTTCTGTACCCAAGTACCTGCAGATGACTGAACATTCTCTATAGAGCCCCAAGGCACTAGGAAGCCTGTGCATTTGCCGCAAGCGAGAAATTTCTTGGAAGTCTGCACTTTTAGCTCACAATGCACGTGAAATGAGTGTGTTACGCCAGAGCTCCCATATATATATATGGGAGCTCTGGCGTAACACACACATATATATATGCATATATATGTGTATATATATATATATATGCATATGATGGTTTTTATAACAAAAGGCTGTGTTGCCCCCAGATCTTTTAGGGAAGACAGGCCATTCCAAGCACATCTGCCTCCCCGGAGTGTGGACACTGGGGGTTCCAGAGCCACATTACAACATGGTCCTTTCTCATTCAAGACGCCCAGGGGCTCCTTTCTGAGGCCTCTGCTCCTTTCTGCTTTCTAAATTTGAAATTAGACTTCTGGACTGGAGCAGACACCTCCCCCTCCCTCACCTTTCTGCCTGAGCTGTTCGTGGTGGTCCCTTTATACTCATTCAAAAGTAAGAAAACTGAGTCTCAGACAGGTGGTCACACAGCTAATAAGTGACAGAGTCAGAATTCAGACCCACAGCTGTCTGCCGTCTCCCAAACTGACCAGAGGATCCTGTCCCCTCTGTGGTCAGCCCACAGCTGCAGCCTGGCACAGCAGACCCCACAGTGGCGACAAGGCCGGTTGCTGGGCAAGGGCAGAGCAGGCAGGGCCAAGGAGGCTGTGGCACTGAGTTTTGGCCTTCTCTTATGAGCCAGGGAGCCACATGTGGAGTTTAGCAGTGGGCGGTGTGGTCGAATGTGCATTTTGGGGAGGCCTCTGTGACTACAGCAGGGAGAAGGTTTGGGAGTGGAGTAGAGTGGATGCCTGTGGGTCAGTCGGGTGCTGCGATGTGGTCCAGGGCAGAGGCGAGGTCAGCGGCTTAGGTGGGCAGGTGGGTGGGTGGCAGGGGAAGGCGGGAGGAGAACTTGATAGGTGCAGGAGCTCGTTCGGAGGCCAAATTGGTGGGACTTGATGATGGACTGGACGAGAGTTGGCGGGGCAAGATAGTAATCTAGATTTCTGAGCAGAGGAGAAGACAATTCCTTGAGACAGGGAAGGAGAGCCAGCCAGGCCGGAAGCAGACGCCCTGCACCCCAACACGAGAGCAGCTTTCCCTGGCCACCCTTCCCCTTGCCCCGTTCTTGAGGACAGCCAGCGGTTAACGGAGTTGAACACCTTGCTATTCTGAGTGCCTTCATGCATGTCTTAAAGAAGCACATCCACACGTTTGGAAGAGGCCCCGGCCCCGGCTGAGGTCTCCATTGACTGGATTCCATTAGTGACTCCTCAGTCTATTTCCATGACCTTTTAAATCTTCTCTTTGCTCTTAGCCAACCCGCCCCCAACCACAACCAGGCACAGAAAATAAAATAATATATGTAAAATAAAGGCAGGCAGGATGAGCAGAAAAGCTTACATTTTTGGGAAATTTCTGGACTCATTAAATTCTGTTGAAATCTATCTAAAATGTCATCACACTTTTGCAGAACCCCAGCTAGGTGAAGGGCACCCCCTGCAAGTTGCTATGGGAGTTCCTGGCTGAGATTAAAATTTTCAGAATTAAGGACCATACCTAGTCCCACCCTGATGTTTCTCAAGACCTCTAGAGCTGCAAGCCAGATTCTAGGGTCCCCACCAGGATTCAGGAGTTAGATCCTAGCTAACCTCACGTTCCAGAACCTTCTCCGGTTCCGTGGAGCCCTGCCACAGGTCAGTCCGATTCCCTCCTTGACTCGCTAAAGGTAAGTCTTACTGTGTCCGTCCCTTCCCCAATTCCACTCATTTCTAAGAGCTGTTCTCCACAGGCTAGAAGAATTCAGGCTCATTGCCTCACAGAAGGCACAGAATCTGGTTGAAAAGACTTTTGCCCTGACCTAGAGAAGGACCTAAGCTAAGGACCTAAACTCAGACAGCTTTTGCACACCAACCTCCCTGAGCTTACTCACTGGAGCCTCTGAATGCAACATTAGGATTCCCACAGACAGAGGCTCGGCCTCTGCCAGGCACCCGGGACCCAAAGGGCCACCTCTGCAAGCCTCCTTCAGCCAGAGGGTCCTGTCCCCACTGTGGTCAGGCCGCAGCTGCAGCCCGGCACAGCAGACCCCACAGCTGAACTGAACCCCGAGAAACTTGAGAAAGGGTCCCTAAGAGCAAGCGATTTCTGCCCATCCCAACTCCAGGAGGAAATAAGTGCTGGACTTACCTGGAACCCTGGCATGTAAGAGCGAATGAATGAAATACTGTTGGTTACGGCACAGTGATGGGGGCTTGGAGGAGGTGACGCTTCTCCGAGGTCCAGCGAGGCAGGTAAGAGGCAAGTCCCCTCGCTGGCTAGACTGTCATGCTGTGGCCTTTCACCAGTGGCAAAACCAGGGACAGCGGCCCCCAGTACGCTGGCCAGGAACTGAAACTAAAACCCAGACTACTAAAACCTTGAAGAGAGTTCAAGTCTCCTACCATCCCACGGCGGAAATATGCTTTAAGAGTTCCACAATAACTGGGGAATTTTCAAGAAGAGAGCCCAGAGCCAAGAAGCGCTTCCCCTAGCTCAGACATCTGTGTCAAGAGCTTATTATATTCACCCCCTGGGAGGGCTTTGGAGCACACCAAAGACATGAGGTCCTCCGTGAGTGGGCCCCAGAATTGGTGAGGGAGCTTGGGTCCGGGACTCCCGGCTCTGCCCCCTCCTGGGGGTCTTTTGGAACCCTAGGTTTCCCACGGCCTGAAGGCAGAAGGATGATTGGTCCTGGAACAGGGCCGCGGAGCTCTGGGAGAAAGCACTGCTCTTTCCAAATGTGCTGATGTTATCGGCTGGAACAGATCAGCGGCTCAGAATTACGCAGCAGATGCCTTGCATTAAATAAGATTCAATTAAACCACATGGAATCTGTGAAAATGTTTATCCCCAGAGTGCAAATCCATTGTCAGGCAGCATTTTTCTCTGCCACCAGGTGGCAGATGTTCGCGGTTGGCTGCCAGGGCCGAGGAGACTGCCGCTTACAAGCGGGGCAGGATTCTGGTTCAGATTGGTGAGTCAGGCCTCCTGCCGCCTGGGTTGAGGGTCTAGAAGCTCCCTCCGCTGGGGAAGGCCCGGGGGCTACTCCAGAGCTGCCCCTTCTCTTACTGGGATCTTTGTTTCCAACAGATGCGACACTTACGCTCCTTTTCCGGTTCTCTGGAGTTGACCTTTCCTCTAAGCCGGCCTTTCAGTCTCATACTTGTCCCCAAGTTCCCAGGCCCCAGGGACAAGTACAGCCTCTTCCTCTAAAGGAGACAGAATGTCCCTCTTTAGCTTTTAGGTCACTTGCCCCAAATCCTACGAGAATTTCCCAGTTGACTCTCTTCCCTCTGTTATCTGTCCCCTGCCCCTCACCTGGCTGCCTGGCCTGTCTATTCTTGGCATGAGCCTGGCCTCTCCTGGAGCCCAGAGTCAGCTTCCCTGTTCCAGCAGAAGCGGTTGTTAGCATCAGATAGCGTTTCCCAAAGCGTGTTCCACAGGCCTCGTGTGTTCAGGTTGGCTTGAGAAGCCTCCCCGACTGTATCTCCACCTTGGGGATACGCAATGCATGTTGGGACAGCAAAGCTTCTAGCAAGTCCCATAGAAAAGACTCCTGTTTGATCTGGCAGACCTGAACGTCCCTAGACTTTTAAGACCCTGGAAAGCCTTTCTCCACATAATGCTTGTGAACAACCCAGAGACAGCACAGGCAGATGCAGCCATCTGTCACGGGCACACGGAAGGCATTGCCCCAGCCGAGCACAGAAATTTGGGCTACAGGCGCATGAACTAGCTCTTCCCAGGCCGTCTCCCATTCCGCCTCACTGAGCCCCCAGCCTTGTTTTTGCCCTGGGTTACTTCCTTATGTTTCGGGCCCTGA